GTTCCCAGGCAGTGCAGTGCCAGCAAGAAAGATGTGTGGCTATTCTACTAGACCATGGTGCAGACCCAAATCTATCAGATGGTGATGGCAACACTGCCCTTCACCTTGCTGTCATGTCTCCTAATACATCCATAGCAGGGCTGTTACTTGGGCATAATGCCAATATTGATGCTCAAAATAAGGTAAATTGTTATATTTGTTAAGGAAGTTATTTCAAAAACTTGCCTTAATGTTTCTCTTGAAGCGTTTTTTTAAGTTTGATTTTTAACTTGATGTTTTCATCTGTCCTCTCAGAAGGGATATACCCCACTTATTCTTGCTGTGTCTGAACATCATGAAGAGATGGTAGAGTTTCTCCTTAAAGAAGGAGCTGACGTGCATGCCCGAGATCAGTGCGAAAGGTGAGGGGTTTGTCAAAACTCTGCATGGGCGTTTAGTCTTTAGGTTGGACTGATGAAAGGCATGAGAATGAACTCTGGAAAAAAAACAGGGAGCCATACGGAAGGAGCTATTCCAGTGTGACTTGGGAAAGCAGGTCTGCACTTGGCTGCTGTCATACCTTGGTGGATGCTTTTCACGTTGAGGATTGCAAGAACGCATTGTCTGTGGTGGCCCTTCTGGCAGGAAACGTGCCATGAGCTCGGCAGCATTGCCTCAATTCGGAAAACCCACTCATGCATAGCAGCATAGTTTGTATGTAAGTGTTGTCTAAGTGAAAGCTTTGTCTGAAGATTGAACATCTAACTGGTTTGACTCCCTGCCCCGTTTTATTATTGCTCTTGATACCTAATGAAAGCTGCTTTTTCTTTCATTAATTTTAAAGTAGTGGGGAAAATACTTTATTGGAGAGCAAATGGGAATAAAAACAATTACAGTGTCTGTGTAAAGTGATGTATTTCATATCATATTTTGAATGTTTCAGAACCCCACTTATGACTGCTGCTTCTGGTGGGGAGCTTAATTTGATAAAAGTTCTTCTTCATTATGGTGCTGATGTTTCCCATAAAGACACTAATGGATGGACAGCTGAGGATTATGCTGTTATTCATGGATCTTCTAGGTAAATTTTTAAATTTATCATTAGAGTAAGTTGTCAGTTGTCCGTGTCGCTTTTGAACATTTTTGGTAACAGCACCAAGGTTTAATGGTGTGATGAGACCTGTCTTGAAGCTGTGCTCAGTGGGGTCTTCTGATATGCATTATTCCTGTGTCTAGTGTTAATTTGGAAGCTGAGGAAAATTTCCGCCCAGAAATCTCTGTTGGATTTCAGGTTTTGTTGCTAATCTCATATCTTCCTAGTTCAAAGAGTAAAAGGTGTCTGTAGCCTGCAGTTGTCCAGAGGCGGAACTTGTCAGACTGAAATGCATGTAAACCTTCTCCCCAGACCAGCACTGTTGTCCTTACTGACTTCCACTACAAGGACTGGGAACTACCAGCCTTTTGTTTCAGAGGACATCTAACTGATACCCCTTTGGTTAAAATCTTAAGCAGTTTTACTCCTCTTATGCATAGCTTTGTACCTGTGGGTGTTCCTTCTCTAAGGTGGTTATATGGGCTTAAAAGCTAGGCTGAAAAAATGTACCAAGCAGGAGTTAATAACTTCATAGGTATGAATATGCACCTATAGAAGGACCATGGGTGTAGCGAATATTGAAGTCTGTAATAGTCATACAATAAGTGTTGTGTGTATTACTCTTAGTGAATACATGAGTATTAATTTATATGCTTATGAAAACATGTAGGATGGATAATAAGTGCCTGTTAACTATTCTATTAAATTGTATATGCAAGTATGTGGGTTTTTTT